TACGTTATCGAATAATTCTGATTCTCTGGAAAGGTACGTATATCTTGAGACAATGGAGGGACAATAAACAAAATGTTGCGTAAAACGTTTATTTATACTCACCTGTACCGTAGTACTCAAACGTATCCTAAATTAAACTTTATAGCGGGAAAAAATCATACTACCATTCTGTGAAAATCGTACTGATAAGAAATGATGGTTCGTCGTGATCTATATTTCATACATTACATAATTATATACAAACGTTGGAACAACACAAGTCATAAATTAAACGTGATAGATCTAAGAGTGGAATTTCTTACTTGAAAAATAAAGCGTAATATACAGCGTTGAATCTCTAAAGTTGCAAGCATATCGGATAAAGTGCCAATAATAGGATTATAAATACCTACTTATTTCTAATTTTACCGCTAACACAGAGCGTTACTTCGTTTGATTAATATCTCATTCGGAATACAATAATCTAATGTAATTGATACCTTAGCATCGTTTGAGAATAGTTTCATTCTCGATAGTTCGTTGTAATACCCGCGATCTTGCGACTATGATTGGACACGATAACCTGTCAGTTACGACCAATCGTTTTCAACGGGCTCAGCTGACAGATCCTTAACAGTTGACAGTACTCAACAGCTTGAGGGAGCGAGCGCGTAAACACGTATGAAATTCGATGTTGCATCGACGTACAGTAAAGTGCCTTGCTAACAGACCATAAGTCGAAACCAAGTTGATAATTTGTCTAACTACAAAGAAACAATTTTCTCCGAATATAGAATGAATATAAAAATAGAAAGTAAGATATCAACAAATTCTGAAGACGGTAGTCTTTTTCTATACACATACAAATTTCATAGCTTGAGAAAGGATACTTGAAATAAATGAGAATAGCGACAGTCAGTTAATAAGACAGAGTTCTGGTCAGTTAACGAGACATTACTGTACTTACGGGCAAAAGGTTTCCTTAACCTTGAATAACGTGGAAATAGGGCAAATATGTAAGCGAAACGAAACGATATCGCTGGACTCGCTCGCTCTTACTAGTGCACGGTATGTAGGTACATACTTTTCGCGCCACACCTTCCGGACCAGATGATAAATCGCGGAAAGCTGCGATATCCGCGACACGATACAGCTTGATCGACTGAAGACCGGCAACCGACTGAGTCGATAACGCTGCTAATCAAGCAGATACTTGTCCCGAATGATACTATTGTTATTCAACGTTAAAGTTCCACCCAGATAAAACGTATATCCACCTCCCTTATAAAATATATATTTACGAATTCATTTTCGCCCGGACAGTTCACTGTCACATAATTTAAATTCCAGACGAAGCTCACCTAAGAGACACGAGAGGCATAGTACATAATACACGCGTGCAAACGAGCACTTGTTTCTTCTAACAAGTAACATAGAAGACGTACATTTCACAAGATGAATACAGGACGTAGATAGATTTGTTTCAGCAAAATCGTTAAGTACATACACTGAAAAAAGATTAAGGAGATTGAGGATTTATCCAAGGATCGTGTAGGATAAACGCGAGCCGAAAATGTGACGATGTTACATGGGCAACGCGCGGCTACTGACTGACGGAGAGGAGGTCGCTCCGATTGGCGGGCCC